ATACATACACCAAATTCCGTAAACTTCGCGATTTGTAGATCCAGAAGATGAAATTGTTCTTCCATTGTGACTTAAGTACCGAAGTAGTAATTGTAATGACGCGGCCAGGAAAAGCGGTGGACAAAGACTATGCGTTAAATTTATATCTGTTCTAGATTCTTGTCATGGACAGTTAAGACCAAGTGTGTACTCAAATTGATACCATTACTCCATTACCTACTGAGTAAATAACTAGAATGAAGTCCCCGTAAGTTTGAAAGTGAATAACAATTCTTGCTCAATAAAGAGAGACAGCAGTCTGTCCTAGCCCATGCCCGGTATAGAACTGATCATATCAGCATGAGCCCGATGGATTCGTTTCCCGATGTAGCAATCGCGCACCCGGTTTGATGTATGGCCTCTCCAAGAATGTTGTGTCCGACCGGAACGTGGGCTAATAGAGTACAGGCACTCGGTAATAATAGCCTTTACTTCTGCTCGAGAACGAGGAGAAAATCMCCTGCCGATATAGACTCAAGATTATCTGTATTTGAACTCATATAACCAACGGCGGAAGTATGATAACCCGTCTAATAATGGAATTGTGCCTCGACATGCCTATTCCGTCTCGTCAGATTTACAAATTAGTAGTACTTGCTCTGAATTTTATTATTTCATATCAGCGTCTGGTCCATTTATTGTTCGGACATGAAGTGGTGCTGGCACTGAATACGATTCTTTGTATACCACCAAATTGTGCATACGGCACCAAACCGGATATTGAATATAGAATATCTCGGTGGATGTTAACATCACATGGTTGAGATGAAACGGCAGGAAATGTGGGGCCGTGGATATATTATGTATATATATGTAGATGGCCCTGCATTTACCTAGTCAGAGAATAAGAATAACAACACATCTTGTTCACAACCTACTTCAACACGGGATTTCTTACCGCACAAGACGGTGCATACAGCATCAAACGCGTCGTTACCAAGATTAAATGGGAATATCACTAACATCGAACGAGACTCTGACTCCAAACGAAAACGACCACTATTGGTCCGAATTGGTGCCAGCACGACTTCGTGTCAGTACCGTCGATTCGCTTAGTGTTTCTGCATTCCTGTTCGGGGTGGATGTTCCATTTGAAGTCACTAGACGTTTCTTGTTTGGGCCTCACTAGATGACCTCGATTGGAGCTTGGAATTGATACGTGATTTAAAGCAAAAGGGACGCGAAACAGAAGAAGAGACGGTTCTCATCCATGATTTGGCTCTCTAGTGAGACCTCTTCGGATGAGTGGTTTTCAAAAAGATAGAATACAATCTTTCTCTTTCAATAGAGGAGCAAATTGAGATATTGACTCTACAAATTAGAACCAAATCGGGAGATGGTAGTTCTCCCACACATGCGAAACTACCTCAAGGCTCTCCTCTATCCCCAATCTTATTTCTCTTCTTCAACGCAGACCTCGTACAACAGCAGATCGACAGCCAGGGCGGAGCGATTGCTTTCGTGGATGACTTTACCGCATAGGTGACTGAGTCTACTGCGCAGAGTAACCGGTAAGAGATTGAAGCGATCATCACAGAAGCGCTCGACTGGGAAAGAAGGAGCGGAGCGACCTTTGAAGCCGAGAAAACGGCTATTATACACTTCACCCCCAAAACACACAAATTGGACCAAGAGCCTTTCACCATCAAGAAACAAACCGTGAAACCCAAAGATCATGTCAAGATTCTCGGCGTCATAATGGACACTAGACTCAAATACAAGAAACACATTGCGAGAGCCGCATCCAAGGGCCTAGAAGCAGCAATGGAACTCAGACGGCTCAGAGATCTGTCTCCATCATCAGCGCGACAACTATTCAAATCGACCGTTACCACCGTCGTGGACTACGCCTCTAATGTCTGGATGCACGCTTTCAAAGACAAGGCCATTAGACCAATCAACCGTGTCCAAAGGGTAGGAGCGCAAGCGATCGTGGGAACATTCCTCACAGTCGCAACCAGTGTGGCAGAAGCAGAGGCTTATATTGTCACTGCGCAAAGCCACTTCTAGAGACGGGCCGTGAAGATATAGATAGACGTCCACACCCTATTAGAAACTAACCCCCTTCGTAGAAGTACCGATCAGATTAGAAAATTTAGAAGATTTTATTGCTTACCACTATATCAAATGGCAGACGCGCTGAAGAACATCGATATAGAAACACTGGAGACCATTAACCCGTTTACACTAGCACCATGGGAGGAGCGCGTACAGACCGATATGAGTACAACCCCGGAAACGCACACGGAAGTGGGTGGATCAATGCAGATTGCGTTAAGCAGTTCGGCACGGAACGAGATGGTAGGATTCGGTGGAGCGATCCAGGGGAAACCACCCCGGTATAAAAAGCTGAAACTAAAGACCTTCTCCTTCACACTAGGCATAGATTGGAGCAAAACCCATACTCGGGGGAGCTAGCAGCAATGGCACACGCATTGAGCACGCTACCGATGTTGAAGTAGTACAGAATCACGCTGCTAACAAGCAACAAAGCAGCCGCACTCACATTGAGAAACCCTCGACAACAGTCGGGTCAGGAACACGTCTGCCAAATATACAAGTTCATTAAAAGGCTACGACGAAATGGAAGTCAGATCACTATCTGTTGGATCCCCACCAGTGAGGACAACAAACTACTAGGCCTGGCTAAAGAGCATACCAGAATAGCAACCCAAGAGGTTGCTATTTCACAAGAATAGATTCCCCGAATGAAATCAACAACTCTCAACATCGCACGCGATCAACAAGGTATTAATAAAGGCTTGCCTGAGAATGTAGGCAAATACGTTAAAAGGGTGGATGCGGCGGTCCCGGGAAAACACACCCAACAGCTGTATGATCGATTATCATGGAAAGAAGCAAGCGTGCTGTTGCAACTCCGGACTGGCATGGCAAGATTGAATGGATATCTCTATCGAATCAACGTAGCGCAGACCGATCAGTGTGCATGTGGACAAGCGAGAGAAACCGTAGAGCACTAACATACCCTTCTTGCTAGGAGGAAAACCACCGTCAGATAATCAGAACTGGACCCCAAACTTGGAAGCAGTACGGGCCATAATACGGTTTGCAATCGCCACGTGCCGACTCGATGCTACTTAACCATGTAGACAAACATAAATCAACCACCTCTCCCGATCTCACTCACACCAACCACCTCGGGACAGACACGGTAGACGCGCTTCAACTGCCGAAGATAGGATGTTGAACACCTGAAGAAGCGCCTTCAAGCCAGCTACTAATAAATTACTAACCCACGAGCATCCGCTACGATACTGATAGGTGAGATGACATATATTAAAAGTGATCATGTATGGGCTGCAAGGAGACACGGCATATATTATAGGACATGTACTAGTAGATTAGTGATAGTTGCCCTTTCGGCTTGGCCGCCGGGGGTTAATATGTTGTGTGTGTGTGTGTGTGTGTGTGTGTGTGTGTGTGTGTATTAACTTAGCACCCATGGATGTGACAGAGAATTTGTGTGCCTTAAATTGGAAAGCTCATGGTAGAAGGACGAGGGTGGGATTCGAGGCTTCGCGAGAGGATTGTTAGTGGTAGTGGCCTGCATATCGCTAGTGTAGCGAGGGGTCAAGGTAAATGAAATCATCCATCCATCCATGCTGTAGAAGTGCTTATACACTCTCATCCATATATCATGACGGCACCTGGAAAATGTTCACTAGTCATCCTTCAAGATCAGCTACAGCGAATCGAACCGAGCATTATATGATACAAATCAAAGGGTGGTCTACGACAAGTGACCCTGATGCGTTCCGAGAAGGCGCAATTTAGTATTTCCCGTCCGCTGTCGGCAGATGATCCCGTTCGATACTTGAACCAAACTAACTCGGACTGACATCAACTCGAACTGACTGTTGAGTAGGTAAGTTGTTCATTCTCTTCTCTGATCTTGAGGGGCTGATAATCGAACTAGTTATATACATGTGTGCACAGACCACACTGGAACCGACACCAACTCATCCTAGTACAACACGTGCCAGTTCGGAACTGTCAATTTTCGGTTCATGCAGGGCTTGCTACTAGTCGAGATAAACAGAGGTCTAGACTTCTATACACTCGTCTACCCGAATGTGACAAGAAAGGCACAACATGATACAATATTTTCAATCTAATATTATAATAAACTAGGACTCCGTAAGGTACGGCTTACTACCCGATACACTACTCATAATTGTCAGAATTACATTCTGTACACATACATATTTCTCCCGTGTATTTCTCCCATGTAAATGGTATTACAAGAAGGATTTGAAGGGAAACTCACGCAAGGCTGAGGCTGTGATGAGGGGGTGACTGTGCCGCATAGAAGTCGAGGACAATAGCCTTGTTTGGAGAGATAAGGCAACCACTCAGCTTGTTAGTACCTGTGACTGCGATGCATACCATCTTTCAATGTCAGTACGCTAATCCATCGTGAAGCACGAACACGGACTCGATCATTGCCTCTACGAATGTTTAAGGGTGAATATTGGCAAATCCTTATATCGAGGGACTCTTGTTATCCAATGAGAGCACCCGAGTGGATGTATGCGCTGCGCTCACCACATCCGGGAGAGCTGTAAAGTAATGTCACAAACTAATGATAGGCTGGTAGCTAATTTCGAATGGCGGATAGGGAATAAGCAAAATGTTCAGCGATGGATTCCTTAACCGATAACAGTTACATGATGTTCGGGTGCAGACATGGGCAGTATGAGATATAATAGGAATACATCGAATTACCACCGCTAGACTATCCTACCAGAACGGGTACAGGTTGAATGTAAGACTTAGCTCAAAAAGCTATATACAGCTATTCACGCTGGGTAAAACCCTACATAAAACAGACTAGAGAATTGGATCTGAGAATCATGGAGGACTAACCAACAGATTAGTGGCTAATTAGAAAAAAAAACCTCTACACTGACATGGTCTCGAGCATTCTCAAATACCACCTCACTTGGGGAATCAGCTCGAACTTAGCGCCCGCCACAGTTCATTTATGTCCAGTGCAACTTATCCATCCGTTGATAGTAGTCAGAATCCGTCTCTCCATCTTCCTTCGGTGTGTCGACCGGTTTCACGCATCCATTCTCACCGCACATGCCAACTTTATTGGGATTTCCTACAACGGCACACTCATTGTCGACCCGGCCGATGTCGCAGAAGTTACATATGCCGCCTGACTGGTCGACACACGCCTGATCTGTACCACAGCCAAGCTCAGAGCAATATGTGAAAGTGCCGACATCGTCTGATAACCTAGTGCCGACATCGTAGGTTACCAACCAATCACCGGCAGGTTCGTGTTCAGGCAGTTTGAGCTCTGGGTTGCGCTTGTTTATTTTCTGTGCAAATATCACCCTGGCATATGGCGGATCAAAAACGAATGTTGTTTCGTTGGTCTCAGAGTTTTTGATTTCTACCGTTGCCGAGATCTCATCTATATAGAAGTATCCATCTACCTTTGGTATTGATGCTTTCTCTATTTGTTCCTTCACATGACTTGCAGTCTCATTGTCAAACCGGGTGTCAATGAAGTATAACTGATTTGGACCCGCGGTTGCCACGTATGGAGTATCTGGCGCTATAACCTGGCGGCCGTACCATGTTTCGATAGTCTTTGGTACGTAGCTGCCCCGATACTCCTCCAGGAAGGTTGGCTCACCCTCGGACAATCGGAACAGGTGCAGGAGCACAACAATGAATAGCGTGGGAAGCATTGCGGTATAGGGATGAGCTGCTCTTTCGTATTTCCGTGTAGTTCGTATATGATTGCCTTTTAACAGAATTTCTAAGCCCTTACCCAGCCTAAATACACAAATATTTATAATATCATAAAGAATTCCTGGTGGCTTACCATGCTAAAGACGCTAACATTAACTTTACAGGTTGAACACATGAGTAACTATTGGCCGACGTATTGCTACCGCTGCAGCTTACTTGCTTATCGCTTATGTGCTGACCGCTTATATGCTGACCGCTAATATGCTGACCGCTTATACGCTGACTTCCTGTGTGAAAATGATAGTAAATGCTGACCCACCCATGTACCGACCTACGTAACTTGAATTGAACGAGACTGGATGGACAACAGTGATTGTTATTCGAGAAAGTTAACGCTCAGGTACATGTGCAGGCCAACGCTTATGTCGTGGTACTGTAGTATTGATGTTGTTGTTGGGGCAGTGCCTTTACATTGCAGACGGTAGTGGTGGCGTTTCATTTACCCTGACCTCTCGCAACTAAGTTGATTATAAACCACAGCCCACTAGACTGGGTACGGATTCGTATTTTTAGTCTAGTTGGAAAAACAACTAACTAAGCGATATGCAGGCTACCACAACTATCCCTGTTTGAGTGTTCCATTACATACTGTTACATTACAGGCATATTTGAAATCTCCATTTTTCCTTACTCTCTCTTCATTTTGCCCCACAGCCAAGGCTGGCTTGCAGAGTGGGGCCAAATAAAGAGGAGAGGGCGCAAAACATGAAGGAGGTTTCGAATCTTTCTGTAACTTCTTTTGACTTGCTTTCTTAGATTCTTGCAATTAGATATCTACTTCTACGCAAGAAACTTTACCGGTCAAATGTCTACCTACAACGAGAACACAATGATACCCGGCCAAGACGCAGCCAGGCCCCTACGCGAGCTGACAGCATCAGTCCAGGATCGTTATAGTATTATTAGCTCAGAACATAGCAGCTCTTGTCCTAATAAATCTCGAGAACTAAAGGATAAAGATGTTATCACAAACACACTTTACGAGCAAACCAACAAGGGTCGACCGGAAAAGATCCCGGACTGGAAAAAAGTTGAGCTGATGCCTATCGATGAAATTGAGATGGAGAATAAGCAATTTACACACAAGTATGAAGGTGTGTGTGTTCGCTCAACTGTCACTCTGACAGAAATAAAGATAATGTATAATACTTACCCTATGACTCGGCAGACTTTTGGAAAGATATCGATAAATCCACCCAGTTGGAAAAAGAGGCTGCTGTTCAAGCTTACACATTAGCTTTTAGCCGATTTCATGAGATATACCATCTCATCGGATGGCGTGATAGAGACAATGAGGATGCGATCTTTGACAAGATTGTCCTTACAGAATCCCGCAGTCTTCTCATTGAGTCCATCTTTGGCGTTGAGGTATATCAAATGTCCCAACGTGGCGAATTTTGCGAACAATCACGCATGCTGTTTGAGCATTCTCGTCTTCCACGGCTACTCATCATACTCGTCCGGATTGCATGCAGGCAGATATATATCACCAGTGCTTGTGGGGCAGACAAAATAATAAAAGAAAGATTTTTTGATGCTCTTATAGTTATACGTGTGCTGGCTCTTACAGCACGTATGCTGAAGGGTGATCACCTCGCCTCATCATTATCAATGGAAAGGCTTCTTCATCTATGTTATGCACGTCGAATTCTAGATCAGCCAGGTGCCAGTGATGTGGAAACTTACGGTAAACATTTTGAGCTATTATATGATTGCTTAACGGCTCTAGATTTTACAAGGAAGTTTCAAGAGATCAGAGAACCTCTATGCGAACTTTTCTACTTACGGTATAATACTGAGTCGATCCGCGAGTTATTTGAGCGTTTAAGGACTCATGAAGAGGCCACTATCAGATTCGAAAGATATCCAGAGCTACCACTAGAAGAGAGTACTGACTCAACGTTTCATCCCGAGATATTCACAATTCCCTATCTACAGAGATTTGGACGGCTGAATATAGAATGGACTGATTGTTTGGATGAGCACCTAAAGATTTATGCGAATAGGAACTCTATCAGAGTCTTTGCTCATCCCACCTTTTTCTATAACCGTATTGATTTACATAAGTAAGTACTGAATCGTTGAATGATACAGTCAATATCTACTAATCTAAAGTCATCAAAGAGCTAAGCGCAACTATCATGAATCAACATACCTAGAGCTGTCTCGGACTTATGCTCTTCTGTTTCGACCAACATCATCCAGAAACCTCCAGCGTCTAAGACAATATGTCTCTACTAGAGAGGACGACCAAATATTATGGTACAACAGTATGATATTCAACGGTCGTCCTATCTTTCAGTTAAAGCCTTATCTGGAAAAAGAGGTTGCTACTAACTTGAAGAAAATAATGGACATCGATCCTGCTCGAAATCCAACTAAAGACATTCTGTCAGAGAGTTTTCACCGCTGTTCTCTTCCACCAACTATACAAGTAGCGTTCGATATCGCCAACCCATTTAGGGAAGTCAAAAGAATCACTAAGCGATTAGACCAACATACAGTAACATCAACCTCAATGCAACGAATCTTAGACCTCGCACCGAATTATCCAGAAGATCTTAGATTCATGATTGTTTCTGTAATGGAAAATAGCTTCGCTGATATGGAGTCTTTTGTGCGGTTCCCCTATTTTGCGCCACGACTTCGCCTGCTAAAGGTGTATCTGGATTCGCACCGGCCAAGCACAATCCGTGAGCTATGGTATGATCGCAGGGATTATCGGTTATGGTGTATATTTTGGGGAGCGGGTTTCTTTGCTGTTTGTGTTTTACTATTGATGCTCTTCATTCTGCTTGCGCAGCTAGCCTGTATCTAAGATAGTGATCCTGAGATATCTGCAGAAGATGAATATTCCTTGATTATACCGGACTATAATCTTAAACACGACCTATTGGTTTTGCCCAAAGTCAGCTGATTCAGTGCTGTGTGATTCAGCTAATTTCTCGGCGTTAAAATTCTTAGAAGCATTCACTAACAGCATCCTATCACTTGTTTTAAATGTCATCGCGAAGTGGATTGTGCAGGAGGCTATCCGCTCCGAAATCCCGGGTGAACTGGACCCAGAAACTATATCTGCACGCTTGATAATGATGAATTTTGCAGGTATCCACACGTCTTCTTTAACGACAGTGAATATGTTGCTTGATTCATTATCGTGGCCTGATATTTTTAACGTGATGAAAGAGGAAATTGGTATAGCTTATCAGTAAAGCAAATTCCAATGGACTAAACATATCATGGACAACGTGAAGTTTGTTGATAATGTTCTCTATGAGAGCATGCGCTTATCGGGCCCTATTGTATGCTTGATTAGGGAAGTAAAGGCTAAGAATGGAATTTAGCTAAATGGCGTATCACTTCCCAAGGGTATAAAGATTGCTGTTGATATATATAATATGTATTGTGATAAAGAAATATATCAGGATGTGAACACTTTTAATCTATTTAGTTTGAATCCTTCTACAGGATAGCTAATGCCCCCTGTTGTTGAGATGAGCGAAAACTTCCTGCTGTTCAGATATGGCTGAGTATGTCTCTGCGATCCTTTTCTGTTTTCCTGTATTAATTTGACTACTTGATCCTATTAATATTATATTGAGTATGGTTGCCCTGGTCGCTATTTTGCAAGCCGCAAAATTAAGTTGATCATCGCAACTATGGTCACGAAATATGATATTGAATTTTTGATAAACGTCCAAATGTGTGGATGGGCGATTCGATGATACCCCTCGTACCATACTCAGTGTGAAGCGACGGAGTTAATGTTTGAAAGATCTATCGGATTAGCGACTTTACTCCCGGCTAACCCTGAATATATCTTACAAGTAAAGAGTAAGTGACTAGCAAGATTGTGTGTATATGCAGCTCTCTGTCTCTCTGTGTATCTCCGGTTTCCAAAGTGGGCTTTTATACTTGTCTCGTCGCCTCCGCCCCACCCTAGACCGGGTGGTGTCTAGGGTGGGGCGGAGGCGACGAGACAAGTAGATGTATTGGTGGGGTCATTTGTGAGCTGTCATGAGGGGTAAATCTTAGGACCACTTTGGGCCCTGATAAGAAGTTGGCTTCAGATTGATTGCCTCATTTGATGGCTTCATTGCTGATTCTAAATGAGGCGATCTCAAGGACTTAAATCCAGTGATTACCTTCCATGTATACGTAGATGGGTTAGGAGGATTCGAGGTTGATTCAATGCCAGCATATATTTCTGCACGCAGCAGCACGTTCAAGCTGATGATCCAAAAGAGCTGAATACAGGAAACTCTACTTGCACTATAGTCATTATTCTGGAGCCTCACTTGATAGTTTAGAGGGAAACACCTCAAAACAAAGGAATCTACGGAGTACTATGTACAGTAAACACAGTGAGTGAAAGCGCACGGACTAATTTTTTGAATTAGTGTAAACTAAATCTACTATTAAAGTAAGATACTTTCTGTGGTGCCACTCAGCCACTGTCATGAATTAATCCTATCGACCAATAGGATCAGTGCCACGAGATGCTACAAAGATTGTGCTGGGCCTATTCAAATATTCCTAAAGCCTTCATAATCTTAGACAGCTCTTCAACTCACATCATGTGAACTGTCAAAACGGACGATCTCGGAATCTTGTATACGCTCCAGCTTACTGACATACAAATTTAACATACAATCATCTCCTTATTCAATACCTACAAGCAGATAATCAACGATCATTAATACTGGACGATGTCGATTCTCTGAGTCTATACGATCCGTTCACTGATGTCTTACGGAAGTCAGCACGAATCAGTAGTTATTAAGTTAGCATTATTATGCTTTTATAAGCAGTGTAAGCATAATCAAACAGTGTAAGCATTGCAAGCGCTGTACAAGTATACTACGTAGATAGCATTTGTTACATGCCGCTCGGTCTAAAGAAAAGCCGAGCTGTGGGAATAGGCATCTGATTGGCTATAGATAAGTGACTTAGTACTGTGGCCTTATTTACTAAAAAATAATAAGGATGCCTAGGATTCTACGCTTCACCTACGTATCCCGCACATGCGATACTAAATCGAAATACAATGCATGAAGAGACATCTCCACTTATCGCCAGACAACAACCAGAAACATCGAGATGGTATCTACCATTATCAATATACCTACTCTCCATCTGCAACTTCTTCCTGGCAGGCTCTAGCTCCTCTCTCAACATTCCCCTGACACGACTTATCGAAGACAACCTCTGCCGTCGGCATGATTGGCAAGGGGCCCCAATTGACGAAGGGCGTTGCAAGACCGACGATATCCAGTCCAGTTTAGCATATCTCAACGGCTCACTTTCCCTTGTGGAGGCCATGGTTGGTATGTACTAGGAGTGTTTCTACGTCCGTCAAAACCTCGGATACTGACTGTCAGTCATAGGTCTGGTTGTCGCATTCCCGTTTGCAGTTTTGGCCGACAGGTGAGTTCCGTCCAAGAATTGGTTCAAATCGACACTATACCAACCAGTCTACAGAACCGGTCGTAGACCTATTATTCTCCTCTCAACGGTGGGTTCTGTACTTTCTTTGGCATGGGAATTAGCTGTTATTAGTTTTCAAGGGACCATGCCAGTGCAACTCATCCTGGCTGGCCCGATATTTAATGTTGTGGGCGGCGGAAGCACCATTCTAGTGGCCAATTTGTATTCCATGGCATCGGATATGGTGGCTGCAACAGAGAGGTATGTCCTCCCAGAATAGTTCTCGAACGAAATATACCTAACCCATATGCATCCAGAGCATCGGCATTCTTCCTAATGGCATTTGCAAGCTTAGCCGGCGCCTCAGTCGGCCCGGCCATCTCCTCTGGGCTCATGGAGATCTTTTCACCGTGGATTTCGGCTCTAGTCGGCTTCTTTGCTCTGCTGATAGGTCCCATCGTGTTGGTCTTCATACCAGAGACCTTCCATGCCTCGAAGCAGGACTCTTCCCCTGAGCCAGACTACGCCGGACTGGAAGAACCACAGCGCAACACCTTCAAATCGCACCTACTCCAGTCCCTACGCCTGCTCCAAGCCTCTCTCAGACTACTATATTCTCCCTCGATTATCCTCGTCCTGGCTACCTTTCTTACACGCATGCCGGAGATTCTCGCCACCTCGCAGTTTCTGGCACAGTATCTAAGCAAGCGCTTTGACTGGCCCCTCGCCAAGACAGGCTATCTCATTAGCATTCGAGGCATCATCCACATGGTGGTCCTACTCGTAGTGCTCCCTCTTCTTTCAAAGGTGCTCTTACGATGGCAGCAACCTCCCGTCAAGGACCTTACGCTTGCTCGGGTCTCTGCTGCGTTGGCTGCCGCTGGAGCGCTCGTTATGGCATCGTCGAAGATTGGACTCGTCGTTTTGGGGCTGGTACTACAAAGCTTGGGGTCGGGCCTTTCCCCTCTGTGTCGCTCACTGGCCACCAGTTTTGTAATACCGCAGGATACATCGAAGCTGAACACGCTCATTGGGATCGTGGAAACATTAAGTTCGCTGTTTGCGGGGCCCGCGCTTGCGTGGCTATTCGAAATCGGCGTGAAGCGGGAGGGACCGTTGCTCGAGCTTCCTTATTTCGGTCTGGCAGGGTTGTTTCTGTTGTGCTTGGTGGGACTGCTTTTCGTCCGATCTCGTCGTCGGAAGGAGGTAGGTGATTCCAGGGCATAGGTGGGGATTCGGACGAAGATGTGTGATCGCGGTGTACTATCAGGATTATATTACAGAGATATCGATTTAGCTTGTGGACTATACCAAAAACCTATTCTCTAGATAACTATTGATTAAGCGATTAAGTCCCCAACATATGTAGCAGTTTCATAACGGGGCGTGATCTCAATCAATGCCCGGCATGTCCTCCATGACTAAAACTATTTGACCCCTGTAAACTCCCAGGGATTATAAACTGCGGATCATTCGCTTTTTCGATCCCAGGACCCTTCTTCTTTACTGCCTCCATAGTCCTTGCAAGAGACCACTGTAGCAGCGTATCGAAGTTCCGACATGTATGCGTTGTGCGAAAATCTGGGCCGAACGTCTGCGCACCTGAATACCACGTGAGTGTGACTGGTGTTAGGTCAGCGTTGCACATGACAGCTTGGCGGATGTAGTCGAAACAGTGCTCTACAAGCCAGGGTTAGTTGAGAATGATAAGTGAAGCGTGATCTCAGTGCTGTAACTGGGGGGAACTGACCAACGTGAAGCATCTCTGTTATAGCTGATTGATCGGCCTGGTTCTGGTAGTACTCTGGGTATAGCGATTTCCGGATTTTATTCTATATAAGCAATTAGATGAATATAATGGAAGGTTGGAGTTGAAATAGATCCACCAAGCAATGCATTTGATGAACAACATCCAGCCCCGTAACCCAATACCCATCGAACAGCGTCGTTTTGTCCCGCACCATATCGGCCTCAGGGCCTTCAAGCAAGACAATCGACCCTGGCATAAGTAAGCAGCGCTCGTGGGAATTATAAAATCAGTTTCTACCTGCTTCCACTTGATCCCACAACGCATCCATTTCCGGTGTCGGATGGCCAATCCATCTCTGCTCTCCTGAAGGCTCTATAACCAGTTTTCCGCTTTCATTATATGTGAGAGCTCCATTGAAGCGAACTTCGTATTCTCTAATCGATTTTCTAGCCGGTTCTGGAAATGACATCAGCCTCGTGGACCTGTAGCTTGTACATATCCACCAAGGAGAGTAGAAAGGCTTMCCGAGATCCGTCCGCCGCCATGGCTCGMAAGCCGGTGCAAACGTCGAGATAAGATGCAGAGCAAAGGAAATGACGGTGAGAGAAGCGAATATAGCAGTGGAAATAAACCAAGGCCGGTTGTCTATCGCAATGTTTCGAATAGTTTGCCGTTCTACTTGCCCGGGCCCTAGGAAGGCTTCCCCCTCTGGCTCTTCGTCGGCGGACGGAAGT